CAGGGTTGTGCCCCCGCTCAGTGTACCTTCTCCGACGGCTCTGCCGCAGTGGCTGAGAATGCTGCTGCAGCGCAGGCCCATTCTGGGAAGGGCCGCCGCCCCAAGGCTGGGCGCGGCGGAGGGGGCGGCGGGGGTGCGGGCGGGGGTAGTGGTGGGGTCGGGTCGCCTGGTGCTGGAGCGGACGAGGGGACCCTGCCCAGTCCAGCTGAGTCGCCGCCCCTGCAGTTGCAGCAGCCGCAGCAGCCGCCGCAGTCGCAGCCTTCGCAGCAGCCGCAGCAGCCGTCGCAGACGCGGCAGACGAGTGTTCTCCCGCCAGGGTGGCCCGGCGCTGGCGGTGGACGGGCGCGTGGTGGTTTGCCGCGTGGTGGCTCTGCCGGCGGGCGTTGTCAGTACCAGATCCAGACCGGTCCTCGCCGCGGCTTCGTTTGCGGTAAGATCGGTCACTCCACTCCCCGCTGCTTTCGTCGCCTGGACGACCTCTTTCGTCAGCGTTTCGGCCCGTCGCCAGACCTCCTGGACTGGCACAGTTTGCTTAGTCGTCAGATTCAGATCTTTGATATGGACATGGATGCCATTGTTTCTGCTCTGCATGTGATGTATGCTGATGACTCTAGTGTGCTTCCGACTTATTACTCCCTGTTGCCTAGTGTAGGTGTGCCTAGCTTAGCCTCCCCTGCTGCGTCAGGCGTAGGGTCCCCTGCTTTGTGTAGTCTTGGTGCTTCTGCCGTCGTTCCGTCGCCAGACCCCTCGGCTTCGCTTTCCTTCACCTTGGACTCTGGCGCCTCTCGGTGTTTCTTCCGCGACTCCACCACCCTGACGCCGCTTCCTGTTCCTGCTGCCGTTTCTCTTGCTGACCCCTCCGGCGGTCCGGTAGTCGCCCGCAGTTCCACCACCCTTCCCTGTCCGGCGGTTCCTTCGGGCTCTCTTACAGGTCTGCATATCCCCTCGTTCTCTAGGAACCTTGTTGGTGTCGGCTGCCTCCAGGACCTTGGCGTCACCACTACGTTCCCTGGTCACGAGCGGTATGCTGTCTGTACCGAGGCCGCCACTGGTGCCCCCCTGTCCACGTTCCCCCGGGACCCGGTGTCCGGCCTGTTCACTCTGGACACCGTGCCCCCCCCGGCTGGAGCGCCCCCTCAGGTGGCTGTGTCTACCCAGGTTGCTGCTGCCTGCTCCTGTCGCTCCCTCACTCACCCGACCCTCCTGTGGCACCACCGCCTTGGTCACCCTGCGCTCCCGCGTCTGCATCACATGTCCCAGCACGGTCTTGTCCTTGGTCTCCCAGGTTCACTCCCCGCGTTTCCCTCCTCCCCAGCTCCACCTTGCACGCCTTGTGTCGAGGGTCGGCTTCGCCGTGCCCCTCACTCCTCCTCGTTCCCCCCTACCGCCGCGCCGCTGCAGACCCTGCACCTGGACGTTTGGGGCCCCGCCCCCGTCCCTGGGCCGCGTCGCGAGCGCTACTTCCTTGTGCTTGTCGACGACTTCACTCGTTACACCACAGTCTTTCCCCTGGAGCGCAAGGCCGACGTGCCTGGCGCCCTCATCCCCTGGCTTGTCTCTGCGCGTGTCCACCGCGGTCTCCCTGTCTTGCGTCTTCACTCAGACCGTGGTGGCGAGTTTGCCTCAGGTGTCCTTGGTCGCTTTTGTCGTGCGGAGGGCATCACCCAGACGTTCACCCTACCGGACTCCCCACAGCAGAATGGGGTCGCTGAGCGACGCATCGGCTTGGTCATGGAGGTCGCTCGCACCTCCATGGTCCATGCCGGTGCACCCCATTTTCTGTGGCCGTTCGCTGTGCGCTACGCTTCTCACCAGCTTAACCTGTGGCCGCACCCTCAGCAGCCGCAGGTTTCGCCGACCCGTCTGTGGACTGGGTCTCCTGGTGACGCGTCTGCGTTCCACGTCTGGGGCTGCCTTGCTCACGTTTGTGCCTCCGGCATGGACAAGCTCACTGCCCGCACCCTTCCCTGCGTCTTCCTCGGTTTTCCCCTTGACGCGTCCGACTGGCACTTTTACCACCCGCCGTCTCACCGCTTCTTTCACTCTCGTGACGTCACCTTTGACGAGTCCATCTCCTACTACCGCCGCTTCCCCCACCGTGGTCCCCCGGTTACCCCCCCCTGTTCCTGGTCACCCCTTCCCCGGTAGTCCCTGCCCCTCCTCCTCCTCCTCCCCGTCCTGCCCCCTCTGGTGTCTCCCACGTCACCCCCCTTCCGTCCGTGGACCCGGTTGAGGAGTCTTCTGACTCTGGTGGCCCTCCGGTGCAGTCCTCCCCGGCCGCCCCTCCCCAGGTGTCCCCTCCCCAGTCCCCTCCTCCGCCGCCCCTGCCGCCACTGCAGCCGTCGCCGTCGCCGCCGCCGCCGCCGTCGCAGCCCCCGTTCGCTGACTCTGGGGGTGCTCGTCCCGGTCGCCCTGAGGGTGGTCCCTCTGGGGGTGCGGGTGTGGAGAGGGCCGGTGGTAGCCGCGGAGCAGCTTGCGGTCCAGGTGTCGCCGTTGTGCCGCCGCAGCAGCAGTCCCCGCCGGTGTCCGCCCTTCGCCTGCTCGGCCTTCCGTCCCCCGACCCTGCGTCGGTTCCTCCCCGACCGTTTCCTCCTCTTCCTGTCTACGGCCCTGTTTTCCCTCCGCCGGACTCGTCCCCGGCCCGTCTCCCCCCTCGTTCCCCTCCTGTGTCCCCTCCCCTGTCTCCTGACCCGACTCCTCCATCGCACGTCTGGTCTCACCGTCCCTCCCGTGCTCGTCCTGCCTCGCCTGTCCTGCGCTCCCACCCTATGTTGCTTCGTTCACACGCGTCTCGTCCTCCCCTTCTGCCGTCGCCTCCTCCGTCCTCCCTTGTTGTTGCGCCCCCCCCGCTGTCCGACTACCTTCGTGCCGCTCGTCCTCTCGTTCCTCGGGTCCTTGCCTCTCTCGTTACCGACCCGTCTGTTCCAGTCTCGTGCCTTGACGCTCTTGTCGCTGCTGTCGCTGACTTCGCCTCTACCCGCCGCCTTGACTACGCCTCCGCTCTGGTCTCTTACCCTGCCTGTCCTCCGTCTGTCGGGGGTGCTCCTGCCCTTGGCAGTGACGTCCTGGAGGACCGCCAGTTCGAGCTTGCTTTCCTCTCCGAGACTGCTCCCCATCTCTGTTCCATGCTGCTAGTCCCTGAGGGCGACCCAGACGCTTTCGACATCCCGACCCCTCGCACTTACGCTGAGGCGACTTCGGGACCCTGGGCCTCGCAGTGGATAGCTGCCATGGAGCAGGAGATGGCATCTTGGAGATCCACCGGCACCTTCGTCGGCGCAGTTCCCCCACCTGGGGTGAACGTAGTCGATGGCCGCTGGCTCTTCAAGGTGAAGCGCCCTCCTGGAGAGCCGCCTGTCTTCAAGGCGCGCTATGTGGCTAGAGGCTTCAGTCAGCGCGAGGGGGTGGACTTCTTCCAGACTTTCGCTCCGACCCCGAAGATGACTACTCTTCGGGTTCTGTTACACCTAGCTGCTCAGCGTGACTACGAGCTTCACTCCCTCGACTTCTCCAGTGCCTTCCTTCAGGGCAGCCTACACGAGCAGGTCTACCTGCGCCGCCCTCCGGGCTTTACTGGCACCTTCCCTCCTGGGACCCAGTGGCTCCTGCGGCGCCCCGTCTACGACCTGCGCCAGGCTCCCCGTGAGTGGCACGACACTCTGCGTGCTACGCTTGCTGACCTGCAGTTCTTTCCATCTTCTGCAGACCCTTCACTCTTCGTTCGTGCTGGCCAGACTCCGTTCTACATCCTCGTTTACGTCGACGACCTGGTCTTTGCCACAGCAGACAGGGACGCGCTGGCCTCCGTGAAGGCAGAGCTGCTGAAGAGACACACCTGCACTGACCTTGGAGAACTGCGCCGTTACCTTGGCTTGCAGATCTCCAGGGACAGAGCTGCGCGCACCATCACCCTGACTCAGTCACACTTGGTGCGCCAGGTCCTTCAGAGGTTCAGCCTTCAGTTCTCCTCTGCACAGCCCACCCCTCTGCCTGTAGACCACAGGCTCTCCGCTCCAGTGCCTGAGGAGTTGGTAGAGCCCAGCGGCCCCTACGCAGAGCTGGTGGGTTGCCTCATGTACCTGATGACTTGCACTCGCCCAGATCTCGCATACCCTCTCAGCATCCTGGCTCGCTTTGTGGCCACAGGCAGACACCGACCGCAGCACTGGTCTGCCGCTAAGAGGGTTCTGCGTTATCTTGCTAGTACATCGGGCATGGGGTTAGTGCTAGGAGGACGCAGGCCAGCGGTCCTTACTGGGCACACAGACGCTTCGTGGGCAGACGACGCTGAGACACTCCGGTCTACCCAGGGCTACTGCTTCAGCCTTGGCTCAGGTGCCGTCTCGTGGAGAGCTACTCGCTCCTCGTCTGTTGCACAGTCCAGCTGTGAGGCTGAGATCTACGCCGGTGCCATGGCGGCACAGGAGCTCCGCTGGCTGACCTTCTTGCTCACTGACTTAGGTGAGCGGCATAGCTCTGCCCCGGTCCTGTTCGCTGACAACAGGGCCATGATCCTCCTGTGTCAGGAGCCTCGACTCGAGGGCAGAGCGAAGCACATTCAGCTGCGGTACTTCCTCCTGCGTGAGCTACAGCAGCGACGTCAGGCTCGCGTAGTACACTTGGCCTCAGGTGCCAACATGGCTGATATCTTTACGAAGGCGCTTGCGCCTAAAGATCATCAGCGGCACTGTGTACAGCTTGGTCTAGTTCCTGTAGCCTCTCACTTGCTAGGACCTTGACTTTGTACTGTCCTTTATATGTATACTCAGACTGGACTTGTGTTCTCTCCCAGTGGCTGGACTAGTAGTGCCGCCCTGCTCTTGTGCTTGCCTTGTCTGTACTCCTTCTGACCGGTCGCTCAGACCCTTGCCTCAGAGGTTGGACTAGTAGTGCCGCCCTGAGCTGCTTGTTTAGGGTATTCCCCTATGCAGTCTAGGGGGTGTGTCAAACATGTGTATTTGTCATGTTTGTATAGACTGTATAGAGTCACCTCTTAGAGGATACAAAACTTAGATATATTTGTGTGTACTCTCACTTTACGATCATTCAATTCTAATTTCTGATACAGTCATCACGACCCCCTTCATAACTATAGGCATCAAAGCACTTTTTGTCTCAACAATCTGTTCTACCACCTGTGTAGTACCTCTAATCCAAGAAGAACGTCACCAAATCTTGAGTATTGTAGATTACCGCTGCCAAGAACTCTAGTCAAGTAGCTGCCTTCATTCAAAGGAGTTCGCCTGCAGGAGGTTGTCAATGCATTGCAGATGCGCATCTGTGGATAATGAGCCCTTCAACTGCTGGACTTGCTCGTCCACCTTAATTGCTGCACTCAGCTCCACTTTCCCCACCACTTCATTCCTGATGCCCTGCAGCTCGTTGGCAATACTAGCCATGCTTGGGCGGCTCGCAGTGCACTCTGCAGAGCAGCTGAGAGCCAGCTGGGCCAAGCGCAGCACAGCATCATCAGGGGCGTCCATGCTGAGGTCCTTGAGGCGGGTCGGGCTGTCGGACGCCAGGCAGGCCTCCACCTGAAGGAGTGAAAACGAGGGGATGGGAACAGGCTGAAGGGCAGAAGCAAGATTTACGTAGCGACTAAGAGACACTTAGAGGCTGACAATTTGCATTGCTCTATGCAGCGTACCTTTAGCAGTGCCATGGGGAATGGTATTGCCATGTGCATGCTGCTGAATGGTGTGACTTACCCATGCCAGTATGTGCTTGCTCTCCCCATCAGCTGCAGCAGTCGGGCTTCGCCCCCTGAGGACCACAAGTATCAGCACACCAAAGCTGCACCGAGTGAAGGATGTGGATAGCAGTTAGGGTGGATGTGGTTAGCAGTTAGATTGACCAGATGATCTATGTGTGAAGGAATATGCTCAAAATCAGTTTGCAAGAGAATACGCTCATGATCAATAAATGATCGCATCAGCATGTGATCAACTAGCGTCCCACTTACGTTCAATCGCACACCAACAGTAGAATCTTCCTGGACATCTCAAAAGTCAGCACCTAGACCAGCTGTTGTGAATCCGAGCTCACCTGTACACATCGGTGGCGGTGGTTGCCTTGGACGTGCGGGAGTAGATGGGATCCAAATAGCCCGGTGTTCCCATGACTCGAGTAGTACCCGCTGTTGAGCCCTCTAAGGCCTTCACTAGCCCAAAGTCCGCAATCTTGGCCTGATGGATGGCATGACCGAGAACATAAGGAAAGGCACCGTTGAATGGAAGAGTGATAAAGAGTTGCTTCTGTATCAAGTATACTACTAAAAGAGAATGCTTTTGCATATCGTCCCACGAAAGATATATGGGGCTGGTAACACACCCAGTTTCCCCTCGAATGTTGTGCACTCACTCCATTACAAGTGAGAGCTGTACATCACTTTCCTGTGTCTGCTTCAAGCAAGCTGACAAGAGCGTGTGGCGCACCAAGGTGTGGCATGGGAAAAGAAGCCGACACAGTCATTGATGTTACGTACGTCTTGAATCTTGATTGGAAACGGCAGACTCATGCTCCTTACCATTTTATTGGGTTTGTTTCTCGCCTATGCATAAGCAAAGAGCTATGAAAGAAATTTGTGGCTCCCCAATGCTTAGAAAACGTTGAGAGCCTTCAAGACAGCAACCCCGACACCCCCACCAGCAGCAATCTTACCTCCCAAGACACAAGCATGAATTCCCAGAGATCTATTATCCTCCTTCGCTACTATCAACTATACGTTTGCATGGTTATCTCTGGAATAAAGAATGAGCACGTTCATCAAGCTTGCCTGCATGTCAGCCCGGAGCAGGACGTTGGCAGGTTTGATGTCACGATGCACAAGGCCAAAGCTGTGGAGATACTCCAAGCCACGAGCAGCACCAAGGAGGATGTCCAGCCGCTGCTTCAGGCTGAGCTGAAAGTGTGATTCTGCAAAGTACACACGTGAGTGGCAAAACATGAGCCACCAATTCATGACACAATATAGCAAAGAAACACATGGCCTGTGGAATATTACATACTTGTAGAGATCCACATCTCCAGGTCCCCGTTTGGAACAAACTCGTAGATCAAGACTTGCTCCAGGCGTGTCCTCATGTCCCCTCCAGCGGCAAACCCAAGCAGGCGCACAAGGTGGGGATGGTTCTTGTCGGCCATCTGTCGGACCTGAGAGAGAGACAAGCCATAATGAGACCGGATCTTAAAAAAGACACATTTGGATAGGACCTTTTAAAAATCGCTCAACTGCAAGGGAGTATGCCTACATGCTTTTACTTTTCGGCATGGGTTAACTTACCTCTTTCTGGAAGTCAGCGTCAAGCAATTTAGCTCGCTTGACGGCCCACGCTGTGGTGCCATCCCTTGGAGACACGCCCTTGTACACATCACCAAAGGCACCAGAGCTAAGCCGGTTGTCATCGGACCAGTTGCTCGTGGCTGCCATGACTTCCTCAAGGGAGTACTCGGTGCAGTGAGAGGCTGCCACGCTGCCAGCCAGGCCTGCTCATGGGATGAGATGAGGGACAAACATGCAGCGCACTTGCAGAGATATCAGTGTCCTAGATTGCAGTGTGCAAGAATACCATAGACGTGACTGCTCCTCGATCAAACTCAATCTCCCCACTCTATTCCTGCCCCTGATTTGTTTTTTTATGCTGCACGCCAGAAATTACAAAGATGTACGAGCTAATAAGATTTAAAAGTACATTTACGAGTAAATACACGTTTACGCGACTTGGAAGAGTAAATCTACCAAGGTCCTAGCAGTGCAGGGTGTAAGCACGTTGGGAATTTGGAAAATTGATCTATGCAAATGCCCTTGTAGATATTGCCCTCTCTGATATCACACCTCCCCCCATGCCGTTTGACCCCTGCTGGCTATTGTGCCCTAGACTAGGCAGAGGTGGTCAGAGACGCTGCAGCGCGCCCAGAGCTTACAAGGTTCTCCACAACTTTGAGCAATCTATCCATGCAGCAGCGCATCCCAAGCTCCAGCGCACCCCGAGCCCCAGCGCACCCCGAGCCCCAGCGCACCCCAAGCCCCAGCGCACCCCAAGCCCCAGCGCACCCCAAGCCCAGACGCAACCCTATCAACAGTGCACCCCAGTCACCAGTGCATCCCGAGCCCCCCTGCACCCCAAGCCCCAGCGCACCCCAAGCCCCAGCGCACCCCAAGCCCCAGCGCACCCCAAGCCCCAGCGCACCCCAAGCCCAGACGCAACCCTATCAACAGTGCACCCCAGTCACCAGTGCACCCCGAGCCCCCGTGCACCCCAAGCCCCAGCGCACCCCAAGCCCCAGCGCACCCCAAGCCCAGATGCAACCCTATCAACAGTGCACCCCAGTCACCAGTGCACCCCGAGCCCCCGTGCACCCCGATCCCCAGTGCACCCCAAGCTCCAGCAGACCCCTGGGCACACTACCTTGGGGAACAGGTGCACGTTACTAATGGCGGACACTGGGAACATACCCTTGGATACTCTCGCTTGCACCGCTTTACTTGAGAATTCACTAACCGTTTGTGTGGAGAAATTTTGCAACCAGCCCAACCGTTGGCTCTACTCCCCTATGAGTAGACATGAGCAATGAGGCGAGGATTTCCTCGCCTCGGAAATCCTCGCCTCGAAATTCCGGGGGTCGAGGCAGGTTTTCTGGGAAAAATCCTCGCGAGGATTCCTCGCCCCGCCTCGGCGAGGATTCGAGGCCTCGATTTTTCCTCGAGGCAAATGGGCGAGGATGTTCCCATTACCCCTCTCCCCCTAACCCCCCAGCCGCCCAGGTCAAGGAATCCTCGCCCCGGGTCAAGGAATTAATCCTCGAGGCGAGGATTTCAATCCTCGACCCCAAAACCCGGGGGTCGAGGGGGGATTTTCATGAAAAATCCTCGGCGAGGATTCCTCGACCCGCCTCGGCTAGGGCGCGAGGATGAGATCCTCGAGTCAAGGAATCCTCGCCTCGCCCCGTGCTCATGTCTACCTATGAGGGTACGCCGATCGGCTCCCCCGCTTCGTCCTCTAACCCCTAAAAGGGTACCCTTCAGTGCGCTCTGCCCAGATCGTGGGATCACAAGGACCGCCTGATAAAGAGGGAGAAACGAGGGAGAAAGGAGGTGGAGTGAGGGGAGGAGGGCCATCATTCTTACCTTCAATATCTCTTTGTGGTGCCGCATCCTCGCCCTTCTTTACCACTGTAGCTTCTCCTTGTGCCGGTCTTCGAAGTAGCAGCATGCCAATCAGCAGCAGCCCCAGCAGGGAAGCCACAGCAGCCACAGCAATGCCAGCAATGGCTCCCGCCGACAGACCGCCTCCAGACTGGGAGGCCGACGCTCCAGGGGAAAGCGAGGAGGCTGAAGAGGAGGACGGCGATGGAGACTCAGCTGGTGCCGATGGGGCTGTGGGAGGTGCTGAAGAGGCAAGGGGCGGGACAAGGGATGTGATGGCATGGCAGACAACACCGGTGAGAGGCGGTGAGAAGCACAGCGGGCGTGGCATTGCTGGCATAGCACGTGAATGGTCTGTCGATTAAACTCGAGTCAAACTCGATTAAACGCAGCATTTCTGACGATTCCCCAGTGGCATACCGACCCACTTGCATGGGAGGGATGTGGGGTAGTGGACATCTTTACTGTGGGGATGTGTGGTGAAGCTTCATCCAGAGAGACTGATGTTGGGGAGACAGCATGCGAAGGAGGACAGCTCGTTTTGCCTCACGTGGTGCTGCCTTGGCACAGGTGGTGCAGAAAGAGGGGCACTTGCGGCAAAAGGCGCTCTGAAGTCTTTGTTTCGCCACACATGGGGTATAGTCAGGAGGGCATGTAACTTCACTTTCATTCAGATCCCTGCACGTGTGAGAAAAAGAAAAAGAATAGCAATGCATGTGACTCATTGTTTGGAGCTAGGCCTTAAGAACAAGAGCAAAGTACCAAGTAAAACTCGTAACTTCCTTCCTTGATTTTGAGGGGAGCAAATTTTCCCATGCATATCGCCGGGATTCGTTGTGCCTTGCTAAACGCTGGGGGGAATTTTTTGGGGCAGCCTGGACAAAAAAACGCGAATTTGTCTTCATGATTTGCGACGACATGACGAAGCCATCCGTGGCCTCGGCAATTCGCGCTTCCAACTTTTGACCCCCCAAACATGCTTCCAACCCCTCCCAAGCTCCCAACCGCATCAAACCCCACCGCATCTAGAAAACCAAACCCATCACGCATCTCACGCTACTCTACCCAGACCAAACCAAACCCATCTCACGCTACTCATCACGCACCACACAACTTACGCAACCCTATCGCGCATCTCACGCTACTCTGCCAGAGGTAGCAGTAACCTAATCCCTCCGCGACTTCGCTAGTTGATCAAGTTTGAGCACAGACTCTAGCTTACCGCACGAGAATTCGAGCTGCAAGGTTGAAACTTGAACCTCCCGGATCAGGGCGCTAGTGAGGACGCGACAGGCGATGTATCAGGTTGAATTTTGAAAAGCAATATTTATTCTGTGCTAAAACGTTATTGTTTGAAAAGTGTTGCGCTGACACCCCCCCACGCCCCCCCTACCGGGAAACCGTTTTTTTCCTGCCCGGGCTATTTTTTTCTGCCCGGGCCGAACGAATTTCCTAGCACATTTAAAATGGGGCCCTGGCGTATGGGCGAATTTACGCGGAACGCGAATTTTCCCACTTAGCACCTGTCATGTGCTTTGTGGTACTATGAGCACACAGCTCACGGCACTTCCATCATGTCAATCTGGCAGTTGATCAGATGTCAGCTGTAGGAAAATAGCACTCACAAGATAGAAAGCTGCACGAGGTTGCCAATGGAGCCAGGGATGTTGCCAGTCAGGCTGTTGTTAGCAAGATGTCTGATGAGAGCAGGGGAAAAGAGATGAATAAGGAGGGGTGAGGTGATGGGAACTTTTAAAAGTATCGCATAACATAGCAGTACGGGAGAAACCATATAAATATGCTTTCAGCCAATTGATAAAGCGGATGCAGGAAGCTGTATCTTTGTGGGATGATCTCGGAAGATCAATCGATGTCATACAGTTCTTTCAAGTTGGCAAGCCTCCCAAGTGACTCGGGTATAGAACCGGACAGAGAGTTTAAATCAAGGTTCCTGCATTCACGATTGGAAGTAGGCAATTGCGTGGAAGGCATATTGGATGGTTCAGCCACTCAGAACTCTCAGAGGTGACCATCACAGGGCGACAATCTCGATTCCTTCATCACACTAAACGGAGAAATACTTCAGATGGCAAAGGTATCGTGAGCGTCCTTGGTCTCTAAAATTGATGTAAATGGTTTTTCGGGTTCCCAATAACAGACGGAGTCAATGTGAGCCTCACAAGTGAATCAATAAGAAAAGTTACACGCATGAAACTGGAGTTGCCAATGCAATGTCACAATACTCACAAGTACGCCAGGTTGCTTAGGCGTCCAATAGTGGACGGAATAGAATCGATCAGGCTGTTTGCAGACAGATTCCTGACCGGACGCAAGATGTACGCACGGGGATGGGTTTCCATTACGGGAGACACACATGGAAGAAGTTAGTACACTCTGAAGTTTTTATAGATTGGTATACAAGCTGAAGATCTCCGGTTCAAATCCCCATACGTGCGCAATTAAGCCCCATGTTCTATGTCATCCCTGGTGAAGGAGGTTGTTGGGAAGGACGCATTGAAACGCAATTCTGATCACTGGGCTGGGGGCTACAGCCTACCGGTGCGCCCAGGGAATCATGAGCGAGTACATTGGCCCACCAGACGAACACTCCCTTTTAGCAGGGTGGTGTTGGCTTGCCTTCCAGCAAGAAACTCTCTGCTCTCTGTCTCACTCACACTGGGTCTTCTCTGAGGGTGCATGAACACAGTCATTTGATGCTTGAGCAGCTTTTGTGGCGATTTCCACTCACGTGAATACGACGAGGCAAAAGAATCTTGCGAAAACAGGAGCATTAGGCTCACAAGTTGTTCAAAAGTTGAAGGTTGCCTATCGTTGTTGGTATCGAGCCAGACAGCTTGTTCCCATTGAGATACCTACATTTCGAAAAAGAAAGAGGAAGAAGAAAAGGAAGAGTGAAGTGGCGGCCAAAACACAGGATTGTGGGCACCAGACTGAAATTTAAGACAACTCTAATTAGACATGGGCAGCATACCGAGCCTGGCTCGACTCGGCTCGACTCGAACTCGAGCCAGGCAAAAGTCGAGCCGAGCCGACTCGGCTCGACCCGAGCCGACTCGGCTTGACCCGAGCCAGCTGCCCCAAAATGGTTGGCTCGACTTGGGGGTTCAGGGTCGAGCCAAGGGTCGCCTCGACTCTGGCTCGGCTCGGCTCGACTCGCCAAAAGGGTTTCTTCTGCAGGTTTTGAAAAGGTCTCGCTAGATCGCTGTAATGGTTCTGCAGGTAAAGGTCCCTAAGCCCTTGCATCCTTCCTACAAAACCAAAAGGTAGTCGAAAAAAATCTAAAGTAGCTGTGTTGGTGGAGAGACGGCAAACTAGGGTGGCGAAATAGCTCAGATGTACGCTTAGGCTCGATGGCGAAAACCTAGAATGGATAGTCAACTTCCAGGGGGGTCGAAATTTGACCCCCCATGGGCGAGCCGCGCGCTTCGGGAGTCGAGCCAAAGTCAAGCCAAAGTCGAGCCGGCTCGACTTCGGCTCGCCCTGAAATTTGCGACGAGTTGAGCCGAGCCGCGCGGTTCGGCCGGCTCGATCCGGCTCGACTCGGGGCGAGCCGGCCAAAAAAAAAACCCGCCTCGACTCGGCAAAAAGGGGAGTCGAGCCGGGTCGAGCCGAGCTTGGCTCGGCATGCTGCCCATGTCTAACTCTAATCAAAGTAAGAGGCACAAGAAGTGCAAGGGGATACGAGGTGCCATGGAAAAAATTCCATATGAACGCTCAAGCACATACAGCTGAGCATCAGCACCGTTGTCCAAATGAGTTGGAGTGAAAATGAAACTTAGTCCCTCTTCAGTCAATTCTTTCTAGGAATCGAAGCATGGAACAACGTACATAGCTTAAGGCGTGCATAGGTCCATTCACACTGAGGCGGAGTATGTTGAAGCAATAAATAAGAGCTCACAAGGAAGCAAGAGTTAAGAGCTTGCCAATGGAGTCAGGAATCGAGCCACTCAAGCTGTTGTCAGCCAGGTTTCTGGAGGACGCACAAACGACGAGAGTACAGGAAACCGTATCAGACACAAATTCAGAGCGCGTAACACATGGCTACTTGTTTTCTGCACTACCCAGCCTCCTGTTCGTGAAATGTTTTACACCAGCACAACCCGCACGATGAAGAACATTGTGTTCAAGGGTCTCTCAACACGCATCAGCACCGATTACTAACACAACACAATGCTATACATTAGTAGGAGAGTTTGTAAGACTAGGTCCATGCTTAGGTGGCCCGGCCCGATCCGGGCCCAACACCGGCTCGCCCCCCGCCTGGTTTTGGATGGCAGGCCAGCCTGGTTCGCCCTTGGACTGGCCTGGCCTGGCCTTTTGCTCATGCCTACTGCGGGCCAAGTCCAGCCTGACCCCTAAACCCGGGCCGGGTCTGGCACTTGCCAAAACCGACCCAACCCCAGCGTGGCCTGGCCCAGACCGTCCCAGAGTCGGGCCGTGCCAATGCTCATGGCTATGCCGCTTCAGCCCTTCGCGTTTTGGAAGACACCGCTTTCGTATTACACGTCTTTTGAATGGTATTTCGTTTTTTAGCTGACGCTACGCTAACCTCGGGAAGGTGTGAACAATCTACGACACATATATTCATCGCAACACAAGATCCAAGATAAACTGACAAAGCGAGTATCCATCCAAGAGAAGAAACCCCATTCTTATGAAAAAAAAAAACCAGAAAAAGTAGCATGTGGGTGGAGATATCAAGTGAAGAGAAGAATAGTAGTTTGTGGGACTAAGAAACAAGGTACAAACAATATAGCCCTTCTGAGCAAAAGGCTTACAAGGAAGTCAACACTGTAAGGTTGCCCGTTGTCGCTGGTATCGAGCCAGACAGCTTGTTTCCATTGAGATATCTGCATTCCAAAGAAAAAGAATAGGTGATTGCCACAATGTCCTACTTTAAAGCAAAGACTGTTTTGCATCAAACCAGAAAGTTCTGGCTTCTTTGATACGGTGACCGCCGCCAGCCAGAACGTGCACATTTAAGTGAAAGGTGCAATCAAAGCCAGTTTGAGAGCATCAGCACAGATGCCTTGTTCAACTGCAACTTCTTTCCTCCCTTCCCTATAGGGCTGTTTAAATAAGAGAGAAATTGAAGTTGGGAAGAAGACAAGGACATTGGCCCAAGAAGAGGCGAAGTCATACAAGCAAGGAGAATATCTAGGCGGTGCACCACGAACAATAATGCTGTATAGATCTACACTGCATGTCTGCCCGAGCGAACAGCAGAACCACAGGTAACGAGGCTTTGAGACAATCATAAGAAGTAGGCATGCAGGGTCTAGCTGTAGCTCACATGACAACCCAGTGAATTCTAGCACTCACAGGATACCAAGATTTGGAAGCTTCAAAATGGAGTCAGGAATTGTGCCAGTGAAGCTGTTGTTGGCAAGGCCTCTGAGGAGAGAAAAATGAAAGGCATGCAAGGAGTGCGCAGACAGGAACACAGATTGCAAGTCGCTTGAGCGATTAATGAGGAATGGAAGTCTGCAGGATTGATATTGCTCAAAGTGATTTGGTTCTTCCATTGCTTGTTGCCAAGCATCTACTTCCTCTCAGCCGGTGGAGGCACTTAACCCAGGAAGAACCCAGGCGGCTCTGCAGATGATGAACCCAGGAAGAACTGTTCGGTCAGTGGGGGATTTACTGTTTCAAAAAGGAGCCACCAGGTCGGGCTTTCCAGAAAATACGGTTACGGCAGTTGCATTGCGTTGCGCCACATCTGGGCGGAGCGGTGTCATGCGGTCTTCCGAGGCAAGCGGTTTCGTGCGGGGAGGGTGTTGAAACAGGTTGGGGCGGAGTTCAAGTTGCATGCAAGGGTGTACAACAGCATCCAGCTCAGGAAGAGAGAAAGGGGTAGGATTGGCGGACAGAGGGCAGGGTGGAACCATCTGGACAAGGATGAAGGCATGGTGCTTCGCAGGATATGTGTCGGAGGGTCCAGACTGCTGACGTGGAACAGTGGGTTCGACTCCATCTGGAGGGATCCCAGGACCACTTTCCAGCCACCGTAGCCGTTTACAGGGGGTGGTGTACCACACCATACCCCCCCTCAAGAACCAATTACGACTGTGGCTTCCTCGCATTGTTCTTCAATGTATGGTTCCTTATCAAAAAAAAAAAAACTTCCTCTCAGCTGGTGGTGGACACGGTGAGCTGTGTACCCCATGGTGAGCTGTGTACCCCATGGTGAGCTGTGTACCCCATGGGTCGAGATCATGTGGTCAAGTCGAGCCTTTGTTAGCTCTTTTGAGATCACGACGTCAGCTTGAGAGCAAAGAGAGAGAGCCTAGATATAAATCAGCCATTCCTCCTCTCGCTCCCCGCTCCGGGAATCGTGTAGCGATGCTACCCTTCCAGCAATATCCAAGGAGTCATGTGTGCTCGACTTGCCCTCGTTTTCCAGATATAATTCGAGCATGGAGGAACAATGCAAGCCCCAGATACTCACAAGAATGTCAAGCTGCTCATGTGACTAATAGTGGATGGAATCGATCCAGTAAAGTGATTTCTATTAAAATTACTGGTTGGGATGTGGAGATCGCAAGGGAAAGGGCACACAAATAAAGGAGAAATTTTAGCAAGCGACAAGATGGAGGTCATAATTCATTGAGGAGCGATGCAGTGGGAACAACGAGTCAACAAAAAGAAGATCACTCAAAAACGAATGCCGCGGGTGGTGAAAGCACCAGGAAAGAAGAAGGTAATATGAAGTGAGCTGAAGACATGAGGTAACAGTCACTTAGCCCAACTATCAGGAAGCTCACAAGATCAGCAGATTTTGGCGGCTGCTTATTGCTGGTTCTATTGACCCACTCAGCCCGTTCTGTTGAACAGATCTGCAATTCATAATATAGGAGTGTAAGAAAAAAGGCAGAGTATGAGTTTGACTCTGTAAAGCCCAAGACAGGGGTTTCTGACCATCAATGTGGAAGTTCCATTGTGCAATAATGAAAGGAGAAGCAAGGTTCGAAAAGCACAAGCCACCAGAATTGCTATCTGGCATAGATAGCTTTGGCATCAGCACAAGTGCCAACCTCCCTCAATACCGATAGATTGGACAAAACTACAAAGTAAGTATACTTTTCCCTGTACATCACTCTGGGTTGGGGGGCTTTTAATGGAGACAGCGTACAAATGTTCATTACGACAAAGTATAAGGGACGAACTTGAGGACGAGCACGAGGGGTCACATGTCAACAAAACAAAGAATGGCACTCACAAGGTGCGAAGGTTTGTGAGCTTGCTCATGGAGTCAGGAATCGTGCCAGTAAAGTTGTTGTAGGCAAGGGTTCTGATCAAAAGCCAATGGAGGGCGCGAGTGTGGCAGGAGAGACCATATTGCACGAGTATACAACCATAGAAATATATTGAGGGGCAGGACGAACACTGTTTGCCATATTGACTTTGCTATTCCTTTGTGTTACACTCTTCCGGTATACTTGGTTGGTGGTGGGATAGCCAGCTCGTTTGGAAATGAAGAGTACGTCTAGAATCGTATTGCGGGTGACTTTTTTTAGGACAAGGAGGGGAGGAATACAAGAAAGGGAACGCATGTGCTGAAGATTCAAGCGACGTTGGAGCGAAGCATTGTAAGATTTTTACAAGCAGGAATGTATGAAAAAAGGAGTTACACCAAGAAAAATGAGCTTCTTCATGTGCTAATGAGCAAACAGAACATCAGGCAGGCAGGCATTGTGAATTTAAGTTCGTCGAGGCAATGGGAAGGATAGAAAAGACTGTGAGCATGAGGAGTAAGGCACGAGCCACCTGGCCCGTCTGGTGAAGAAACGCACAAGTCTGTCAACCGTGGAAGGTTGCCTATCCCTGCTAGTATCGATCCAGTCAAGTTGTTGAAATGGAGATAACTGCAAAAGTGTAGAAAAGGCAGAATGCAGGCTGGAAAGCATCAGAGTAAAATTGTCATCGATTCTAATCACAGTAGCAGGCAGCGTGCAGAGGCGCCAGGAGGGGCTAATTGTCAGCTGCACAGAATTCCAGAAGACCACAGAACGAAACCCATCCTTGTTATAGTGACCTTTCTTCTCCTCTGCGTCCATTGTCTCGGCTCAAAGCATTTATTCAAATAGCACTTCTTGTTCGATTACAACCTGCTGACTAGAGCCATTTCCGGGGAAAGGTTTGTAAACCACCCTTGTGAAAAGTGTGCTCCAACATGATTTGCACATGATAATTATTTACCCTTCACATGGGTCTGTTTCCCAAACCCACCATCAGGGCGTGCACGCATATAGCTGACATGTGAACCCAACAACGAATAACAAATAGCACTTACAAGGCACCAAGTGTTGTGAGCTTGCTAATGGAGTCAGGAATTGAGCCAGTCAAGCTGTTGTAGCCAAGGTTCCTGATGAGAGAACGCATACATACATGTAAGCACAAGACCTGGACACACACAGGAACGAGAGCTTTGCAAGAGGATGTCCTTCGACAGTTTCGAGAAGAGTAGACGGGCACTACCTGCTACCAAGTTCATAATGCTCTTAACGTAGCTAGGTATTTTGTGAATCTCCTCAAGTTTAGCCATCTAAAGCAGAAAAAAAGGAGCCCATAAATGGATAGTCTGATCTGAATGGCCCACGCGAGTGTCACATGGTGGCTGTCTACGCACTCTTCCCTGCTATCGCTTCCTTCGGTTAATGAGTAAGGGGAGGCACAACCATTTTGACTGAGAGGCTATGATTCGAATGGAACAAAAGAGTAGGAAGTGAGCTTTGGAGACGAGTTAAGCGACATCCAGTCACAAGGGTCCCTATCAAGAGACTCACAAGGAGAATACAGATTTGAGGTTGCTTAAGGTATCTGGTATCGAGCCGCTCAGTTGGTTACGGAGGAGCCACCTGCATGCCGAACAACAGGAGCATAGGAAAAGGAGAGTAGATGGCAAACACAAGTTTGTCAGCGCACATTTCATGGCAAAACCTGCAAAGCTCTCTAGGCATGCTTAGCTGTAATTTGACATATAACTCAGCCATGTTAATAATTTGGGGTCTGTGTTGCGCACATGTGGACTCTATATATGGCGCTCACAGATAGGTAATGTTCTCGAGCTTGCTAATGGAGTCAGGAATCGTGCCAGTAAAGCTGTTGTAACTGAGGTCTCTGATGAGAGGAGAATGGAGGGCAGGCATACGGCAGCAGCAGAGAAGACCAAATTCAACACTTATGCAATGAGACAACATGGTGAGGGACACAAGGTACACTAGGAATGAGCACGACTGCTCCTCCAAACAACAAGCCGGGCCTCCCAGCTGGATCCTCCAGCTCGTGCTGAGCCACCTCGAGCCGCGGCAACCTTTCCAGATGATGGTCCGAGCCCCCTGGCTGGATTCTTGCAGGGCCGTGAGCCGCTCGCCCGGCTCGGCACGCCAATGTGCGCCCAGCTGGTGGGCGAAAGTAACAACTTTTCAGACCTGCTTTTTGTCTTCTCTGCATGGTTTGGAAGATTTTGCCGCACCGGCTTTTCAAGAGCCCCCACCCCAGGCTCGTTGACAAGAGCCACGAGCCGGGCACCGGTTGGCTGGGCTCATATGAGGAACGAGCTAACCCCGGCACCGGGCGAGCCGGCTCTGCTCGGGCCCATCCTCGGGCCTAACACACCGCTTCCACAGATGATGCTGCTGTGAACTGCTGGCGAAGAACTTAGAAGCGAAGATAGCAATGTTGGTGGTTGCCTTGGAGGTGGGGGCCCGGGGTGCCATCTAGCCTTCAAATCAAGAGCCTCACAACTCGGTCAAAGACTGAAGGTTGCTGAATGTTGCTGGTATCGAGCCAGTCAGCAAGTTGGTGAAAAAGGTCCTGCATTCGGTTAAAAAGGAGGGTCAGAGGGGGGTAAGGGGTTGGCTTGGCAAGTGGGTTTGCGTGTGTGAGGTGGTTGGTCCGTGGACTGTGCAGAACAAACACACCCCCCGCATCCCCTTCATCCGGCTTTTTCCTGATACATTTCAGACTGGCAGTAAAATCAGAACAACACGAAAACACAAAAAACGTAGGCCCTCAATACCATTAAGCCCAGCATTTCTGCTGTGAGCACCAAAGTGAAGCGTTGCTCAATTCCAAATCCAGTACCAGGCAGCGAGCTAAGGTGCAGATAGAAATAGGTATTTCGTTTATGGACAGCATTCATTCCTGAAGATGCGCCTGCCACGCCTTACCCCATGCCTTACCCCATGCCTTACCCCATGCCTTACCCCAATACTTACCCCATGCCTTACCTCACGCCTTACCCCACGCTTTACCCGACGCTTTATCCCACGCCTTACCCGACGCCTTACCCCACGCCTTAACCCACGCCTCAACCCACGCCTTACCTCATGCCTTACCCCATGCCTTACCCCATGCCTTACACCATGCCTTACACCATGCCTTACCCCATGCCTTACCCCATGCCTTACCCCATGCCTTACCCCAACCCAAGCCTTACCCCATGCCTTACCCCATGCCTTACCGCATGCCTTAACCCATGCCTTACCCCACGCATTACCCCATGCCTTACCCCATGCCCTACCCCATGCCTGAGATCTTGAATATCAGCACCATGCCGACCTTGTTCAAACAAGCTGGAAGCCCTTGAAAACTCGCATTTCTCCTTGGAAAACCATTTTGAGGGCTTAACGCATACACAAGCGCACAGCTCATGGCAACACCTGCGCAGCTTGAGCACGTGGAGTCGCTCACACGTCAACTCGATGAGGAGCGGCACTCACAAGAAACCAAGGTTTGTGAGCTTGCTGATGGAGTCAGGAATGGTGCCAGTAAAGCTGTTGTAGCTGAGGTCCCTGATGAGGGAAAGATCAAGGGCGTGCAAACGGCAACACCACTGAGACCATAATGCACGCATTGCAATAACATGATATTAGACAGAGCATATGCTGGAGCCGTGGCTTGGCCATTAGCTCAGCTCGTCAGTTTTTTTCGCTCGTCGATGACCGGCGCGACTCGGGTCACGCTGACTGACCCCTTCCTCAAAAGATCTAACAGCAGATCTAAGCAATGTCCGATCTGCCTAGTTTTTGCACGTTTCAAGCACTTCCCAATCGAAAAGGCCTACCTTCCTTCCAGGTCCCCTAGGTACGAGACCTAGTTTCCCGTCTTCCACGCTTCAAAGACAGGTGATCATGGGGGGGGAATGAGCGTGTGGTTGGGGCTTGGCTGAGCATGGAGATTATGGGGGTGTGACCCAAACAATGCCCTCAATACCTCGCGAGCCGGGGGATGTGACGAGCCGATCCCGCTTGCCTTGAGCCAGCCCCGAATTGACCATTTTACACGAGCCATGAGGCAGGGAATTGGTGGCTTTGACTCAGCTTGCAGGGGGGAGGAGTAGGCATGAGCAAAGGGTCGGGTCGGGTCGGGTAACCCGACCCGAACCCGACTTTTTGACGGGTCGGGTCAGTTTCCCCGTCGGGCGAACCCGACCCGTCGGGTTTGTTTTTTACCCGACCTGACTTCGGGTAAATGCAGTCGGGTTGACCCGACCCAACCCGACCCGAAATCGGGTCGTGCGTCGACCCGACGCGATCTGCGCGCAGATCTCAAAATTTTGACTTTTAGGGTCGAAATTTCAAACTGAAAAAACAGTTTCCTATTTCGACCTCGACTTTCCCATACTCCTACCTAGCAACCATGGAGTTCTAACGGTTGAATTTTAGGCAGCAGCTGTTCCTCCTCTTTCTTAGACATAGAGAAACGACATTCGCCCTAAGCAACTCAGATTTCTTAAGGAAACAGCCCGCATTTCTTAGGGAAACTTTCCAACAAAGTGGCTAGTGCATTCGTGGCATTTACCAAGCACTTTCCTGAATTGGGGGCATTGGTCCGTGGAATCTAGGGGCTTCTTAGATATCTAGGGTTTTCATTCCATAGGTCTCTAAAGCGGGCTGTACTAGGGGAGGGCCTAGATTGTAGGTGTCGGTGGCCTACACAGCGGCGAATGGAAGGCGGAGTTGGCGGTGGCGGTCAGGGCAGAAGCGATGGTGGGGATGGGGGGTTTAGGCCGCATCGGCGCAGACCGGCGTTGATAGTTCGGTGCTGCCCGGGATGTCCCTTGCCCTCGTGCCCGTCGCCGGCGCGCTACAGAGCTTCGCCCTTGGCTCCATCAACGCCGACAACGAGTGGGATGGCACATGGCACCGGGATTTTAGCATGGACGACAAGGGGTGGGAGAGGAACCGGATTCCGGACCCCGCAGTAGGGGGGAAGGGGGGACAGCGTGACAATGACCCGGATTATGGCCCGGGAGAGGAGGAGATGGAGGCATGCGAGTCCGGGGACGATGGCCCACGCCCCGGAAAGAAGGAGAGTGGGAGGAAGATCGGGAAGGGTGGCGGAGGGGGGCGTGGGAAAGGGAGGGGTGCTGACCTAGGGGCCATGAACGCACGCACTGCTGCTGGTGGGGGGGAGGGCAGCGGGGAGCCCGGAGTGGCAGGGGGTGTGGGGGGGGCAGCAGAGGCCATGGAGACGGGGGCCGGGCAGGGTGCGTGCGGTGGAGAAAGGGGCAAGCAAGGGGCCAAGCGTAGTAAGGGGAAGGGGAAAGCACGGTCTGGGTCTGGGGGGGGGACTGCGGGGGCGGGTGCGACGCACCCTAAACGTGGTAGAGAGGGGGAGGTGGAGGAGGAGGAGGAGGGCATCAAGGGCAGGATCCCGGGCCTCATGCAGGGTATGTTCGACGTGACCGACGACCCTCTTAAGTGTGCATGTAGGTGCTGCAAGCAGACGGTTTACTAGGCAGGCAGCAGCACGGGCAGCGCCTGGAAGCATGCCCGCCCATATCACCACCCCCACCTCCAGATCTGGCACCATCTGTTCACAGACCCCAAGATGCAGCCGGGTTTGGAGTTCCCCCTCAAGGGGTATCCGAACGTGCCACATCAGCGTGAGGCCTGGCCGCATGCTGACAGATGGCCGCGGCTTCCTGCGGGTCCGGCGCCGGCGCAGGCGGAGGCTGGAGCGGGGCAGCTGAACTTACACAAGTTCATGGCGCCTCGACTGTCGTTGCAGCGACTGCGACAGGCGCTCGTCGAGCTGTTTGCTGACGCCGACCTGGCGTATCATCTCGTCGAGCGCCCATCGGTGAGCCCTCGCATACTCTACTTGTGAATTTCAAAGTCCATCTTTGAGCGGAATGTAGACTTGTCACATCCGTGCTATCAATCCGCCAAAAGCCTCATTCTGCCTAGCTGCCACCCCTTTCTCCGCCCATCCTTTTTTCAATTCCAGCGGTTCTGCTCGCTGCTTAACCCACAAGCTGCGAACATGCTCGGCAGCCGGTTTCGGCTGGCACGTGACATGTTGACGCACGGGGATGCTGCACGCGAATGGCTGCAGCAAGAGGTGGCCGGTGACGGGGCAGCAGGGAAGGTTTCCTTCACGACTGACATTTGGACCAGCCCCAGCAAGCAGGCCTTCATGACCGTCACGGGCCACTACATCACATCGGACTTCAAGCTGCGGCAGGCAGGCGACTTTCGAGTTCAAGCAGCTCCATGGGTCGCACACGAGAGACCTCATTGCGGACGTGTTCGAGAAGGTCCTCATCGAATGGGGATTGCTGTCTGAAATGTTTGGCGTGACGACGGACAACGCCGAGAACAACGCCAAAGCTTTCAAGATCCTGGCCAGCGACAAGACGTACCCCACTGCCCGCACCGCTAACCCAGTCTTGATGAAGGACATGCACTTCAGGTATGCCACTTGAAACAGCGTTTTTGCATATGCTCAAAGAGTTGCCCCTCACGTCCCAAGGGAACCAACAAGATAGGATGACTACAATCCCCTCAATTCTCCCCCCGCCCAACACCTCTTGCCCCCCCCCACACTCCATCCACCCTGGCCTGCAAGGTGCCTTGCGCACATTTTGAACCTGGCGGTTCAAAAAGCACTGGGAGTGGGGACGGTCGTTGAGCCGTTGAAGCGTCTCAGAGACCTGGCTACGCATGTCGGGTGGTCTATCACACGTTCTGAGCGCTTTGAGGAGGACCAGCGTAGAGTGGCACAGGTCCCTGGGGGGGGGACCTTACGACTCATGACGGACACGCCCACACGCTGGGGCTCCACCTATGAGATGCTCAGGCGTGCGATTGACCTGATGACAGCCCTCATGCTCTACCTGTCCCGTCCTGAGGTGAGCGTGACAAGGCATGGCACATGCCACAAGGCATGGCATGGCACATGGCACGGCACATGGCATGGCACATGGCATGGCACATGGCATGGCATGGCATGGCACATGGCATGGCATGGCATGGCACATGGCATGGCATGGCATGGCATGGCACATGGCATGGCATGGCATGGCACATGGCATGGCATGGCATGGCACATGGCATGGCATGGCACATGGCATGGCATGGCATGGCACATGGCATGGCATGGCATGGCACATGGCATGGCATGGCACATGGCACATGGCATGGCATGGCACATGGCATGGCATGGCAGGCATGGCACATGGCATGGCATAGCACATGGCATGGCACATGGCATGGCACATGCATTGCACATGGCATGGCATGGCACATGACATGGCACATGGCATGGCATGGCATGGCACATGGCACGGCACATGGCATGGCATGGCATGGCACGGCACATGGCACGGCACATGGCATGGCATGGCACATGGCATGGCACATGGCATGATACATGGCATGGCACATGCATTGCATATGGCATGGCACGGCACATGACATGGCACATGGCATGGCATGGCACTTGGCATGGCATGGCACTTGGCATGGCATGGCACATGGCATGGCACATGGCATGGCACATGGCATGGCACATGGCATGGCATAGCACATTGCATGGTACATGGCATGGCACATGGCATGGCCATGTGGCATGGCATGGCACATGGCATGGCATGGCATGGCATGGCATTGCACATGGTGCATGACCACATGGTGCATGGCCATATGAACCACCGCTCCCCTCCTCAACTCATTCCACACCCTTCCCATTGTCTTGCCTGCTGTCTTCATCAACCTGGTACCTCCAAACAGGTGCCCAACACTAACGGCAGGTTTCACCTGAGGGACGACCACTGGGAGACGCTGCTGGAGGTAGCGGCTTTCCTCAAGCCGTTCCACTCCCTTACCACGGCGGCTGAGGGATCGCTGTACCCCACAGCCGCGGCGGTTGTTCCCCAGTAGGACAACCTCGAGACAATGTACCACAGCAGGACGACCGCCCCTTTGATCAGGGACATGGCATGGGAGGCGTTGGAGGTCCTGAAGAAGTACGAGTACGAGGTGGCGAAGGAGCTCGCAGTGGCCACCATGCTAGACCCCCGCTACAAGCACTACTTCAGGCTTCCGCGATGGGAGGTGGTGAACAAGGATCTGGTTGCCGACACAGCCGGCACCGCTAGGGCGGTGCTGGTGTTGGACGAGGCGAGCGTCGCAACGCTGGTTCGGAAGCGGCTCGAGAAGTACCTGGCTAACCAGCAGGGCTCCGGGGAGACGGCGGGGACCGAGGAGACCAGCACGGCTACTGGAGGTAGACATGGGCACAAGCCGAGCCACACCTGGCTCGGCTCGGCTCGGCTCGCCTTTAAGGCGAGCCGAGCCTTTTTTTTTGGTGCCCGGCTCGAGGCGAGCCGAGCCGGCTCGGCTCGACTCGAGCCGGCGGCTCGGCTCGGCTCGCGCAGGTGACACCAGGCGAGCCGGAGTCGAGCCGGCTCGAAATGGCTCGAATTCGAGCCAGCTGGCTCGCGGTTCGGGTAAGGGGGGGTTTCGCGACAGTCAAAATTCAAATCGATAAACTCCCCCCCCCAAACTCATTTCGTCAACCAACCCTAATCTCACTCACCATAACGCCCTAGCCTATCGCCCTAGTCTTTCGCCCTCAGCCAGAACCAAACTTGCAGCACGTTGTTTTATTTTTTAAAGACGTAAGAACTACTATTTATAATGAGAGCCACCGAGGCCTTGGCGCGACAGCCCTAGGCGCGCCACCGATGCCTTGGCTCGTGGTATGCGCGACAGCCCTAGGCGCGCCACCGAGGCCTTGGCTGGTGGTATGCGCGACAGCCCTAGGCGCGCCACCAAGGCCTTGGCTGGTGGTATGCGCGACAGCCCTAGGCGCGCCACCAAGGCCTTGGCTCGTGGTATGCGCGACAGCCCTACGCGCGCCACCAAGGCCTTGGCTCGTGGTATGCGCGACAGCCCTAGGCGCGCCACCAAGGCCTTGGCTCGTGGTATGCGCACGCTTGGTAATGCTTGATTAGGTTAAGCGCACGCATTTGGGGGTGCGCGAACTTGCATTGCACATGGCAAAGACCAAGGCAACGGCGGCTAGGCAAGGGGGGCCGGGGAGGGATCGTGTAGCGGGCACAGATGAGGCGTTGGGGGACCAGGGGGGTGTGAGTTCGAGAGCGAATGAGACCGATGGAGGTGGAGCCATGCCCCACATGCCTGAGGAGTGGACAGATTTTCTCCTCTCTCGGCAGGGGATGGGACGAGGGGGAGGGTGGGGGAGAGCCCAGGGGGAGGGGAGGAGGTTCAAGCGCGCACAACGGGGCCGCAGCCGGGAGAGCGGTGGCGATGAGAGGGATGGGAGCGAGTCGGAGGAGCGGGAGAGCGGAAAATCTAGCGGCAGCGAGTATGAGGAGGAGGAAGAGGAGGAGGAGGAGGATGAGCACGAGATGGAGGGATGGGTATTGGAGGACGAGGAGGAGGAGGAGGGGGAGGGGGATTGTCGGTCCAAGAAGGGAACGGGTGGGAGTAGGGGGGGCGAGAGCGCCAGGGGGAAGAGGCAGCGTCAGGAAGGGAGTGGGGTTGGGCCACGGCCAGGGACAGGCACAAAGGGGGGGAGGAGGGGCGGGGAGGAGGGGGGGGAGCGCGCTGCTCCGTCCGTTGGGTGTCAAGGCAGGGGAGGGCGTGCGGATGGGGCTGAGGATGTGGACCCAGGCGTTGAGCAGGAGGGGGGAAGGAAAAGACAGAAAAAGAACCGTAAGGTTGGAGCAAAGAGGAGCAACAAGCGTGTGGCAGAGTGTTTCTTGGGGAGCGAGAGAAAGCGAGTGTGCAAGATGTGCGAGAAGCCGATGGGCTTCAAGGACAGCCAGACCAGCACGGGTGCCAAACATATGGCGAGACACCATCGCCCACACTGGGACATATGGCAGCGGCGCGTGGTCGAGGGTCTTGAGCCAGGAGAGTCATTTCCGATGGGGGGATACCCACATGTCCCTGATGGGAAGGCGCCCAACGAGTGGTCCAAGACCTGGCCGCACCCCCCCCTCGGCGCCACCATCCCGTCCCTGTCCCCGGCAGCAGCGGACGCGAGGCAGCCCACGATGGACCGGTTCCTTGGCCCACGTGTGTCGGAGCCGCGTTTGCGTCAGGCGATCGTCGAGTTCATCGCCAGCACCGACAGCTCCTTTCGCATCGTAGAGGACCCCGCGGTAAGCGAGCCACCCCACCAGCCCCCCCCCCCCACCCTTCCCTTAGCCTGTGGTCATTGTGTAACCCAACTCCCCCCCCCCCTTATAACCTACTGGATCTGCCCCACCAAAAGAACCACCCGCCCCACCACCACCTCCTCCCCACCCCCCCCCGCATGGCACTAAACACCCCCAAACCCCACACCCCCCCTCTCGTTTACTTTTGGCAGTTCCGCCGCCTCTTGGCTGTATGCAACCCCCAATGCGGTGACGCAATCCCCATACCCGACCGGACCACCGTTTCCAGGGACCTCCGCTTCTACTCTGAGGCGGCACGGGCAGTGGTTAAGTCGGAGTTTGGGGCGGGTTCCGGGAGCGGGCGTGTCTCTTTCACAACGGACATATGGACCGGGGGTAACAGGCGGGGGTACATGACAGTGACGGCGCACTTCATTAGCAGGGATTTTCAGCTGCGACAGTGTACACTGGAGTTTATGGAGCTGGGAGCGCGGCACACAGGGCGGCTGATTGCAGACGTCTTCGCGCGAGTCATCAGGGAGTGGGAGCTCGTGGGGTTTTGCATGGGGGTGACGACGGATAACACCAGCAGCAACACAGCCGCCATGCGTCGCCTCGCCGGTCTTGGTTGTCATGCGTTGGCCACGCCTCTCCTCGCAGATGGCATGCACTTCCGGTGAGTGCGTGGCGAGCTTGCAGCCCTTGTCTTGTCCACATAGTGTGCTGCTGTTCAGACGATCCACACCTCCCCTCTCAATGGCATGGAGGGTCCTTAAGGATTTCCCTCCCCTCTCTCCCCCCCCCCTCTGTGCGCCTTGGAACATGCAGCTGCCTGGCGCACATCCTGAACCCTGCAGTCCAGCGTGCGCTGAAGCTGCCAGCGGTGAGGGTGCCGCTGAAGCTCCTACGCGACATCGCCACCTTTGTGGGATGGAGTGAGAGGCGCACGCGCGAATTTGAAGCGCAGCAGCGGTCCGACCCTGTCCTCAAAGGGACGGTCCTCCGCCTGGTGCAGGACAGCGAGGTTCGCTGGGGCAGCACGCACGAGATGGTCGCGCGTGCATTAAGGCTCCGCCGATCCCTCACTGCGCACTTCGCAGTGGAGCAGGTACCCTCCTTACAAAAGCCCACTCCACTGCTTCCATTGCGTGCACGGATGCTCCTACGCACCCCTTGTGTGACACTTCCTTCCATGCCGCCACACCCATGGTATCCCCACAACCCCCCCCCCCCCCATGCACCCTTGCTCACTTCCCAGGGAGAGACGGCTGAAGAGCGCGCGAAGTACGTCGCGTTGCGCCTGACCGACGCGCACTGGGACACGCTGGATGTCCTGGCGGAGTTCCTGGCACCGTTCAGTTCCATCACCGTGGCGGCCGAGGGCTCTTCCTACCCCACATCATCTGCTGTTGTGCCACAGTTCAACGAACTGATGGACACCTTGCAGGCATGGCCATCGCCCCGCCTCATCGGCCGTCAGCTCGTTGGCGTCGCCTTCCCCGTGCTGGAGCGGTACTATTGCAGCAGCAGCGATGCGCTCGTGGTGGCGACGTTTTTGAACCCCGGCATGAGGCTGGTGTTCTTCGAGGTGGATGGAGGGACGGACACCCGCTCTGGGGGAGAGGGAGAGGGGGCAAACGGGGTGGGCGTGGAAAGCGGACTAGCCGGGTCTTCACGCGCGCTAGTTGTGCGTGCCGCTGGTGCGGGGAGGGGGGAGGAGGAGATGGGTTCAGAGAAGGGCGCAGAGGGGGAGGACGAGGAGGACGAGGAGGACGAGGAGGAGGAGGAGGATGAGGAGGGGGGAGAGGGGGAGGAGGGGGAGGAGGAGCAACAGGGCAGGCCTGTGGCGAGCTTCAAGCCGTCAGAGGTGCTGACCCTTGTACGGGCTCGCTTTGCTGAGTACAGTAAGCGGCTGAAGCAGGCGGCACAGCAACAGGACGGGGGCAGAGGGGGGGGGGGCTTGGCGGGGGGGGGGGTTGAGGGTGGAGATGCTAGTGGTGTACCAGTGCGGGGTGGCTTGAGCCAGTCTCTCCATGCCAAGCTGTTAGCGCGCTCCGCACGACGGGGGGCCACGGTGCGGGATGAGGTGGATCGTTACATTGAGGGGGAGTTGCATGGCGGTTGCCCCTTGGCGTACTGGCGCGAGAGGTCTGATATGCCGGTGTTGCAGGCTATGGCCAGGGATTACCTGGCCATACCAGCAACATCGGCAGCTAGCGAGCGTGTTTTCAGTCAGAGCCGAAATGTGATCACCCGCCATAGGCAGAGGTTGTCTGGGGAGAGCGTGCGAGCCACTATGACACTCAAGTCATGGACTCGCACGCACCCTGGTGTCTCCCTATTAAAGCCAGGGTGGATCAAAGAGACGGAGAAGCTCGGGGTGGAGGAGCTGTAGGCTGCGTGCTAAACCATGTGGTCGGGTGGTTGCTAGCTTGCGTCTGGTTGCGCTGAGAACATGCTGTTGGCAAAGGGGCACTCTTAACTTCCATTCCATGGTACTGAATTAAATTATTGTGACTTTCCAGCTCACCTAGACTTGTACTGGCGCCCCAAACAGAGCAGCAGTTGTTCACAATCACAATCTGGCACATCCCCTGGACTAGAGTCCCCAAAAACAGTGGGCCTTCTTGAGAGGTTACACAAGCCCCCCTGACGAGCCGAGCCGAGCTGGGCATTTTGAGGTCCCGGCTCGAGGCGAGCCGAGCCGGCTCGACCGGCGAGCCGGCTCGGCTCGACCCCAAACGAGCCGAGCCGAGCCAGGCTCGGCTCATGCCCATGTCTAACTGGAGGGAAGGGGGACAGCTGCGCGGTGGGTGAGGGTGGGGGGTCGGCGGGGGCGGAGGGGGATGATTTGGCGGATGAGCTGTTCGCCACCATGGACGCGCAGGCGGCAGCGGCGGGGGTAAAGCCACCGGATGAGCTTGAGAGGTACCTGGGGGAGGAGAGGCTTAAGGCGGGCTGCCCCCTTAAGTTCTGGCAAAGCAGGGTAGACTTGCCTGGCCTTCGAGCCATGGCTCACGACTACCTGGCAGTCCCAGCCACATCCACTGCTAGCGAGAGAGCGTTCAGTCAGGGGAGGAACATTGTGTCCTGGCAGCACCACCGGTTGAGCGCCGCCCAGGGGTGTGCATCCATGACCATCAAGTCATGGATGTCAGAGCACCAGGGCGCGCAGCTCCTGGGGCCGGCAGCTGCGCAGGCACTGAAGGAGCTGTGCATCAAGGGTGAGGATATTGGGCTGTGATAACACCTTTGGTTGAGTGGGAGGATAGTGGTTCGATGGTCGTGGGCGGTGGTTGAGTTGAGTTGTGCCTTGGCTATGTGCATTACCGTGCATCTCGTGACTTGCATCCTCCACCTAGATTTTTATTGTGCATTAAAGTCTTTGTTTGGCACCGGTGTCCAACCTTGACGAACCCAGCATTGAGCTATGGGGTCTCCAAGACTGATTAGTTAACAAGCTCTCTTCTGCATTCCAGGACTCAATAGGCAGCCTTAAACACAAGATACGCATGAAAGGGTGGAAGCAACAGTGTGCCACGCACGTAATGCCTTTAATAAATGGCTAGAAAGGGTGTTTTACAAGGGACAAGAACCATGTGCCCCTTATCCAGGGTGTAGCTGTTTGGGGAACCCCGGGAGGTGGTTCCCAAACTGTTAAAAATAACATGGCCCGTCGTTAAGGCCTCTAAAACAACGACGGGTCCAAAAACCCGATTTTGCCCGGTTAGAACCCGACCCGACCCGACCCGAAGTCGGGTTCCCCATAACCCGACCTACTAAACCCGGGTCGGGTTGACCATGCCCGACCTCTGATCCGACTTGACCCGACCCGACCCGACCCGAACCCGACATCGGGTAGGGCAAAGTCGGGTCGGGTCGGGTCGGGTCGGGTTCATGCTCGGGGAGGAGCCTAGCCAGGATCAGCTCAGTCCTAGCTCATGTCTCAACAATATGGTGAGGTGAGGACACACGGGCTGTTTAATATTCAATATTATTGTGAACTTGCTTTGTGACTTGTCTGTATGTCTCTTGCTGTCAAAACAACAACTATTGCCAATCAAAACGTTGTTCTACAACAGCATTAATACTGATGGATTGTATCACAGCAGGAGAGAAGCAAACCGAACTGAACGTGGATAGGATGGTAAGGTTGCTTGATAGAAATATTGGAAGGAGCGAAGGATTACCCTGTCAAAAAGGAAATGCTGATTTATTTGAGCCTAAAAACATCTAGCCCTTCTAATGAAGAGACTCACAAGCTGTTCAAGTATTGGAGGTTGCCGATTGTTGCTGGTATTGAGCCAGTCAAGTTGTTCGTGTTAAGCTCCCTGCGTTCAATAGAATAAGTGTGTGTTAAAGGGAGGCGGGGGGGGGGTCATCGCAAAAAGTGCAACGTTCACAGATCGTTTTCACCATTCGAGCTCGAGCATAAAGTCGGAAATCGTCCGCCAAGTGTTCGCCAAATGTTTTTTTCTCGTTTCTTTGCGCGTAAATGATTCGCGAGTCTTCTGCGGATGGGATGTTATGCGAATGAGTTGTTTTGTGAATGTTACACCTGAATAATAAACATGTTCCCGTGGCTTATATTTGCATAAATGATTGGTTTTTGTACACTTAAACTTCTACAAAGTTTTAAAATTGTGCATAAGTAACTGAAATATAATAATATATAAAATATGTGTGCAATTTGCCAAAAAAACTAACTGAATCCAACCCCAACCAACTCAACCCATATCTCACACGCTATTCGAGGTTCGGCGAGACCTGTAACCAGGCTGGGTTACGCAGCTCCAATGGGTTGCGAAACCCAGATACCACGTCCTAACCCTATGCACCGTGAGGAAATTGAACAACCCCCTCGGACATCAAAAGGGGCCATGCGATTGGTCGAAGCCAAACAACAACAATCGCAAACCCAACCCACAGCCTGCTCCCTCGACAGCAAAAACGACTAAGGGAAAGATGGTAGCAGATCTCGAATTCGGGATCTGTAATTTTCTCGACTTGCCCTCGTTTCCTCCTAGATCCATGCTCATGCGTAGCCATGCTAGAGAGTTGGTAGCGACTTATAAGATGGGATCGAGGCGACACCGACGTCAGGCTAGTGAACGCGGATATCAATTGAGGTTCTTGGCGCGCGTAGCCTAGCCTGGACGAAATCACCAGCGCCTGAAAACAAGGGCAGGAAACAAATGACGAATCCCCCGCTGCTAACGGCCCACCGTTGCGGGCCGCTATAGCTTCCCGCCGCCTTCGATCTCCTCGTACGAAAATGCCACCCGCGGCTTCCCACATCGTGCTATCCCTGTCCTCGCGCTTCCTTGCTTCCCAAATCCCCGCTTCCCGCTTTCGAAAGCACGTCCGCATCTCACCTTCACGTGCTGCAGCATCTCGCTGTCCCTCGCTTCCTTCCACCCGCTTTCACCCGCGTCCCGCTATCGCTTGCTCCCCGAATCCCGCTTTCCCATGCTCCTCGCATTACCTTGCTCCCCGCATTCCAATGCTCCTCGCATTCCCATGCTTCCCTCATTCCCATTTTCCCGGCATTCCCATGTTCCCCGCATTCCCATGTTCCCCGCATTCCCTTGCTCCCCGCATCTTGCTTTCCCATGCTCCCCGCATTCCCTTGCTCCCCGCATCCCGCTTTCCCATGCTCCCCGCATTCCCATGTTCCTTGCATTCCCTTGCTCCCCGCATCCTGCTTTCCCATCCTCCCCGCATTCCCATGTTCCCCGCATTCCCTTGCTTGCTCCCCGCATCCCGCTTTCCCATGCTCGCTGCATTCCCTTGCTCCCCGCATTTCCTTGCTCCCCACATCCCGCATTCCCATGCTCCCCGCATTTCCTTGCTCCTCGCATCCCGCATTCCCATGTTCCCCGCATTCCCTTGCTCCCCGCACCCCGCTTTCCCATGCTCCCCGCATTCCCATGTTCCCCACATTCCTTGCTCCCCGCACCCCGCTTTCCCATCCTCCCCGCATTCCCATGTTCCCCGCATTCCCTTGCTCCCCGCATCCCGCTTTCCCATGCTCTCTGCATTCCCTTGCTCCCTGCATTTCCTTGCTCCCCACATCCCGCATTCCCATGCTTCCCTCATTTCCTTGCTCCCCGCATCCCGCATTCCCATGCTCCCCGCATTCCCGTGTTCCCCGCATTCCCTTGCTCCCCGCATCCCGCTTTCCCATGCTCTCTGCATTCCCTTGCTCCCTGCATTTCCTTGCTCCCCACATCCCGCATTCCCATGCTTCCCTCATTTCCTTGCTCCCCGCATCCCGCATTCCCATGCTCCCCGCATTCCCGTGTTCCCCGCATTCCCTTGCTCCCCGCACCCCGCTTTTCCATCCTCCCCGAATTCCCATGTTCCCCGCATTCCCTTGCTCCCCGCATCCCGCTTTCCCATGCTCTCCGCATTCCCATGCTCCCCGCATTCCCGTGTTCCCCGCATTCCCTTGCTCCCCGCACCCCGCTTTCCCATCCTCCCCGCATTCCCGTGTTCCCCGCATTCCCTTGCTTGCTCCCCGCATCCCGCTTTCCCATGCTCTCTGCATTCCCTTGCTCCCCGCATTTCCTTGCTCCCCACATCCCGCATTCCCATGCTCCCCGCATTTCCTTGCTCCTCGCATCCCGCATTCCCATGCTCCCCGCATTCCCGTGTTCCCCGCATTCCCTTGCTCCCCGCATCCCGCTTTCCCATGCTCTCCGCATTCCCTTGCTCCCCGCACCCCGCTTTCCCATCCTCCCCACATTCCCATGTTCCCCGCATTCCCTTGCTTGCTCCCCGCATCCCGCTTTCCCATGCTCTATGCATTCCCTTGCTCCCCGCATTTCCTTGCTCCCCACATCCCGCATTCCCATGCTCCCCGCATTCCCGTGTTACCCGCATTCCCTTGCTCCCCGCACCCCGCTTTCCCATGCTCCCCGCATTCCCATGTTCCCCGCATTCCTTGCTCCCCGCACCCTGCTTTCCCATCCTCCCCGCATACCCATGTTCCCCGCATTCCCTTGCTCCCCGCATCCCGCTTTCCCATGCTCTCCGCATTCCCTTGCTCCCCGCTTTCCCATGCTCTCCGCATCCCCTTGCTCTCCGCATCCCCTTGCTCCCCGCATTTCTTTGCTCCCCACATCCCCCATTCCCATGTTCCCCGCATTCCCTTGCTCCCCGCACCACGCTTTCCCATCCTCCCCGCATTCCCTTGCTCCCTGCACCCCGCTTGCCCATGCTCCCCGCATTCCCATGCTCCCCGCATTCTCATGCTCCCCGCATTCCTTGCTCCCCGCATCCCGCTTTCCCTTGTTCCCCGCATTCCCATGCTCACCGCTGTCCCATGCCCCCGCTTTCCCATGCTCCCCTCATTCCATGCTCCCCGCATTCCCATGCTCCCCGTGCTCCCCGCATTCACTTGCTTCGCGCATTCCCATGCTTCCCACATTCCCTTGCGACCCGCACCCCGCTTGCCCTCGCTAATCCGCTGCTGCCTCTCTCCCCTGTTTCCCGCCACCCGCTTCCCCTAGCTTCCGGCATGCCGCTTTCCCCCGCTTCCTGTTTCTGCCATTCCCCCCTTTTCACATCCCGCTTTCTCCCGGTAGCGACTAGCGCTTCCCGCTTCACCTCGCGGACCGCTTCCCGCTTTCCCTTGCGGGTCGCTTCCCACTTTCCCACGTTGTAACATGTTACCCGCTTTTTCGCGCACCGCAATCCCCTGCCTTCTCATTGAATGAAAACAGATAAAGGTTCAAGGCGCAGCAGCAGGGAAGAAAGCGAGGCCGCAGGGATGGGGAAGACAACAGATAGTAGCGAGCGGGAGAGGCGAGAGGGGAGGGAGAGGGGCACGAGAGCAGTGGAGGGGGGAAGGCGTGAGAGCAGGGAGGGAGTGAGGCATGAGAGCAAGGAGGGAGTGAGGCACGAGAGCAGGGAGGGAGTGAGGCATGAGAGCAGGGAGAGAGTGAGGTATGAGAGCAGGCGTGAGTGCAGGGGAGGGGGAGAGGCGTAAGAGTAGGGGAGGGGGAGAGATGGGAGAGCATGGAGGTATGAGGTGCGTGATAGGGGGGGATGTGGGAAGGCGCAAGAGCCATGGAGGGAGCGAGAGGTGAGAGAAGGGAAGGGAAAGAGGGGTACGAGTAGGGGAGTGGGGAAAGGGAGAGTGCAGCCCGGAGGAGATGGGGAGGGGAAGAGGCGTGAGGGCGGGGGAGGAAGAGGCGTGAGGGGCATGGGAGGGGGAGAGGGTGTTAGGGTAGGGGAGGGGGAGTGGCGTGAGTGCAGGAGAGTGGGGAAAGATGGATTGCACTGAGGGTAGGGGGGTAGGAGTGAGAGCAGAGGAGTGGGAGAGGCGTGAGGGCGTGAGAGGCAGGGACAGCTGGAGGAGATGGGGAGGGAAAGAGGCATGAGGAGAGGGGAGGCAGATACGCATGAGGGCAGGGGAGAGGGAGATGCATGAGGGCAGGGGAGGGGGAGAGGCATGAGGACAGAGGAGGGGGAGTGGCATGAAGCAGGGGAGGGGGAGAGGGCAGTAAGTGTGAGCGGGATCCCGGCAGGACAGGCAGTAAACACTCTATAACTAACCCCTCTCAACCCCCCGCCCCCCCACTAACGTATGCCCCCATCTCTTTCTCCCCCCCCCCCCCCCCCCCCCCTCCCCCCCCTCCCCTCCTCCCCGCTCTCTCGCAGCCTACCGGGTGGCACATGATTGCCAGTCAAGCTCACCTTGGACAACCTCTCCGTTAAAAGCCAGACTTCACCCCAAACCTATCCACTCACTCCCCTCTGCATCTCTCAACAAACCACATTCTGTGGGTGATCTCCGTGCGGCCACGCATTCAGACATTCAGCCGTTATTGGCAAATGCTAACCATGTCTCTTCTCTAGCATCATCTACAACGGCTGCAGAAAATGGAAATTATGTAACCCTACATGTGTGAACGACACTTTGTAACTGAGTTGGTCCAGGGTTGTAAAGCCAACTTGAATTTTGAGGTCACAATTTCTCTCCCTCAAGTTTGTTACATTCTTCCTGCCACATATATATGTGACCTTTTCAGGTTATGAACGGCTTGTCGGTCGTTCTGTAAGAGTACATGAACTTGGCACCAATTTTGGCAACAAGAGTAGCTTTTTATCTTTAGCATAAAGTCATATTAGTCTAGATACATTCAGAAAGTCAAGTTCCCATGGAAAGCGATTTAATCTACTAAACAAATCCAAGACACACACTGAGATATATCGAAAACGTCTTAGCATATATAGTAACAAGTGTTGGCTACAACACCTCCATCCAACCACCAAGAAGGGCGTAGTCCAACGGAATCGGTGCAAAACACGGCTTTATGAAATT